ACAACAACAACAACAACAACAACAACAAATATTAAAAAATAATCATTTGATCTTCATTGATCTGACACTGGGGAAATTGGATCCAAAGTCTGGATTTCAAATAAACCAACAACCATCAACAACACAGGACTAAACACTTGATCTGACTGACAAACTACAGATCCACCTATAGAGGGAGCTCCAACTCTACCTAAGAGCTCTTCTTACACAGCGTTACAGATATTTTACAGTATTCGGTCGTTTGTTACGGCCAGACTTTTGACAAACAGAGATATTTTTCTTTGTCAGTAACGTCGCTCCCTGGATCGTGACATCATCGACCACTTCTTACGTGAACTCACCTGAACTTGATGTTGAGCAGCGGTGCGTCAGAAAAGTCAGTCAGACACTCGATATTGAGGACCTGCTGAATCTGTGCCCCGCCCTCCACTAGGGGCTCCACTTGTTTGGTCTGAACGTTGAGCTGTAGCCATGTGTCAAGGAGCGCGACGACGCAAAACACTCACGTTTAAACAAAACAAACGGTTAATAAAAAGGGGGAGGGGGGGGTCAAACCACAGACAAGTGTTAAATGTCTGGTTCAAACCACAGACAAGTGTTAAATGTCTCCACAGTGAAAGGATATGAGACTGAAGTTCTCCAGGGCAGCTGACCGTGGTGCTGAAACTGGCAAACTGCACTGACGTCTTATTACCGTAGAATAAGTACATCCTCCCTGAAACACAGAGTCAACGTCAGGAACACAAGGAACTTCATCCATTAATAATAATAATAATAATAATAATAATATTGATCCCACACTAACAGGAGGAGGCACCAAGTATGTGGTTCCTCTGGGAATCGAACCCAGGACCGCCTGCTCTCTGCTCGTGCCGTGAACTCACCCAGGTTCTGACGATACTCCGACTTGATGCCGATCTGTAGCAGCTGGTTCTCAAACAGCACACCGTTGTTCTTGCACACGAATCTGTAGAAATGACGACGCTTTGAGTCAATTCACAGAAACACAAAATAAAAAATACAGGCGGACAGCAGTGGGCGCTATAATCAGCACTATAATTATTGAATGCAATTATGTTTAATTGTTCACTGCAACACAGCAAGACAGCACTTGGATTTTCTTTTTTCTCGCCCTGATCCATCTACGGGACGACGTTTTCACCCGAGCACTTGATAAACACAGACAAGATCGTGGATTCTGATTGGCTGTGAGTATTTAGCGATGTTAATCATCCCTCACAGAGGAACCATGCAAAGCTAGGTGAACGCAGAAGCTAATGTACATGGAGGAGAAAAAGCTTACTTGTTAAGGAGTTCTTCGGCCTCAGACAGAGGAGGAGCAGGATCCTCAGAGGGAGGAGCAGAGCTAAGAGACCACAGGGCAGCGGAGGGATGAAGGGACGACACGGCCGAGAGGACGAGGACGTGACGCAACCGCACAGGTTAGTGAGGAAGGAACAGAGAACAGGTGGGAGACGAAGACGTTGTCAGACAACGGGACACAGTGACAGGACAGTAGAAGAAATTAGTCCAGAGAAGAAACAAGTGAAGGAGATAAAAAGAAAATGCAGTGATTGTTAGTGACATAAAAAATGTTAGTACCTCACCAAAATATTACACCATAAAAACAGACTTGAACCTCTGTGTTTTTTAACTCATCCAAAAAACAAATTTAGACAAACATTTATTTTAAACCATACATGTATAATAATCTCTGATGGGCCACATTTAACCATGTGGGAGGTCCACATCTGGCCTGCGAGCTTCTGCTTGAACACACCTGAATTTGAGCCTCAACTAAAACATGAACAAATGTGTTGGAATTTTTAAGGACTGACTTTTCAGATGTTTTATTGCCAGTTACGTCCGGCTGGAGGATTCGGTTCATGTGACGACAGTAAAGTTTTATATGTAAATATGCTGAGGCATCAACTGAGTTACTTTATAACTACATGATTCAAAGATCTTCTCAGTCAAACGTGACTTGTTCAGGATAGAACAGTAGATCAGACAACAACACAACGGCTGACCCACAGATAAACACATAAATATATATATTTTAAAAATCTAGTTCTTCACTAGTTCACTACTGGGCCCTTACTCTGAGTCACCAGAACTCTCCACCAATAGGGAGTCAGAAGTCTCAGGGGGCTGTTCCAGATCTCTGTCAATGTCCAATCAGGGTAGAGGACAGGAGCCAGACGCACATTTAAATTCACACACACAAGGAAAAAAGAGAAAAGGGAAGGAGAGAAAAAAGACGACAGACAGTCACAAACACAGCAAGATAATAAAAGAATAGTGCAGCAGACCTGGCAACCCTGGAGAGAAATGTCGACCTCACTTTCTGTGGTTTTAACGTCTTCAGCGTCTATTGCTTCAAACCTCTAGGATCAATAACCGACTTTACGCTCCCTGTTTCTCATGTCTCGTGTTTACAGCGTGACATTGAGGCAGAAGCGAGCAGGGAAACACCTGCGGCGTCCAGAAACGTGTCATGACGTTAATTAACAGACGGACGTGACGTGCTTTATAACGATGTGGAGTGACGGCACTAATGAACTCAGATGTATTATAATTACTACTCTTTCGTGTCATGACGTTAATTAACGGACGGACTGGAGTGACGGCACTAATGAACTCAGGTGTATTATAATTACTACTCTTTAAAGAGTTAATGTAATGCAGCCTTTGACTGGGTTTGTGACTTAAATATTAAAATATATAGTTTCACATGTTTGTTATTTTCACACTGACTGCCAGTAGAGGGCACTCTAGGCTTGTGTACCAGTATCTGCTACTCCTGTACCACTTTTAAATATACGTTTGTTTAGATTTTAATTATTTTAAGAAAAAAGAATTGATGAATAATTAATGAATAAATTATATTTATAATAGAATCATTGAAAATAGAATCTATAATTCTTTATCAATTCCCGTCTCTACTGACGGGTCAATCAGTGTGAGGTCCAACCCTAAACTAACAGCAAAAACGAAAGGCCTTAGTTGAACCAGTTATATATAACTTAAAAAAAAAAAAAAACGGAATAAAACTATTACAGCTGTGGACAGTGTTTGTCGACAAACGTCTTCAGGTTGACAGGTGTGTATCAGACAGAGACAGAGCAGAGACAGAGCCAACAGAACAGCAGGTGACACAGACACATTACAGCTAGTTTTCTTAGTAGACCGACTGAAACAGACACACGACAGACCACACAGACACGTACACCCACGACCACACACGGTCAGGTCAGACTGACGTCTCCTCTCGGTCCAGTAGGACCAGAGTCCTGACCCGGTCTTCTCAGACCTTCTCAGACTACACCACTGCAGCAGCTGGTCAGACTGGACTTTGAAATGACACTGGATCTCTACAGTTATACAAACACGACATCACACCTTAGGAAGCCGTCGTCGTTCACCGCTGTCGACGGCGCGGCGGGACCTGCTTCAGAAAAAACATCCACCAACAGGCTGCCAGCACCGGCTGGAGCCGGACCCACAGGAGCTGCAGAACGAATGCCCAGCAGGTCCGCTGACGGTGACGGGGTGGACTGGAGGACCAAACAGACTTGGACTAGGATCACATGTTTTTTTTTTAAACACCCGATGGTCGTTCTCCGGGTGATTCTTTACTTACAGCATTAGAGGCAGCCATCGCTGCCGTGTCAGGCCCCCGATCGCCGCCTCCGTTCAACTCCCCGCCTTCCCTCTTGTTGTCTTCCAGCTCCGTCACCGACACAGCACCGGGGCCCTTCTTCTTCTTCAGCTTTGCCAGAATGGACGACTCCCTCTCGGGGAAGGGAGGCATCTCCTCCAGGACGGTGGCCTGCAGAAACACAGAGACAAGGTGGTGTAAGAGGAGCTGCCAACATCTGATGAAACCACAGTGAAATGATAGAGAGCAGCGTCTGAGGCACTGGTCTGTTTACAGTTCATTAACACAGTTGAACACAGCAGGAGACCAGAGCTTTTAGAGAGAGAAATATATTAAAAAAAATCAGTCTGAGGTTTTTATAAAGAGCTGAGACTAACTACTGGACTATTCTCAGAAATGCTGAGAGAAGGATAAAGGATTAATACAGTAGGTGATAAACTATATTTTTTTGAAAAGATACATTTTTTTAAATGTTAAATGATGAAGATTTAATTGGTCCATAAAATGTCACAGATTACATTTGACTGCAAATACAAGACAAGTCCAGGACTGAACTCACCAGGACGTCGGTGCTGGCGATGGAAGAAAGTTTCAGGTACTCCACCGCACGCTGCTGCAGCTCCACATCCGAGTTCCGGATCTGGCTGTCGCAGCGCAGCACCTCTTGGATGGTGGCCTTGGTCTCTGGGAACAGGTTGATGAACTTGATGTAGGCGGACAGCAGCAGGGCGCGGGTCGGCACGGAGCACAGGTGGAACTTGGAGTGGAGAAGGTTGAACTGGACCAGAGGGCTGGAGGACAGGACAAGCAGGTCAACATTTATTCTGCCCAAAGGGCGCGTTAGCGGCTAATCTGACATGGAAGTGACGAACCTGGAGCGGGGGTCACCAGCTATCAGGTTACCAAACTCTCCCAAAATGTAGCCTCCGACTTTGACCATGTTCTCGTGGCAGGCGGGAGCCTGGAGAGCCTGCAGCAGACGGTGGTCACAGACACTGATCAGCACCTTACGCTAACTCAGATTTGATAAGAGAATCGTTTTGTTAGCAGTACCTCAAACACGGTCTTGGCAGCGTAACCCTGCACATCATCTCGGTTGATGACGATCTGAATGACGCGGTACCACACCTCCTCGCTGACGTAGTCCCCGGCGATTCGGATGAGGTTGAGGATAGTGTCCACATACCAGGAGTAATCCACGGCGTACTTTTCTGCCAGGATGGCCACCTTCAGCACCTGAAAGAAAAGAAAGAAGCTGTCACGCGTTTTGTTTTCTATCCATAGAATCAGGCACAGAAATGAGGAAACTCAATTTCAGACACACAAACACCCACCATCTCTTCTCTGATGGAGTAGTCTGCCGTCTCTAGGTAGCTCAGCATTTCGGCTACGATCTGTTTGGCGTTGCTGCGATCGCACATGGCGTACAGCAGGTCAGCCGCCCTCTGTCGAACACTCACATCCCTCTCAGTCTGTGGAGACAGACACAAGTCAGTACCTGTGTGTGGACTGTGCTGCTGCTGCTGAGTAGGAGCGGGCGGGCGGTGTGGGGGGGGGACGCACCTTCAGGGCGTTGATAACTGTCTCGATGTGCGTCTTGACCGCTTCGTGGGAAAACTCGGAGCTGGCCAGAGTGCACATGCTCTCCAGGGCCAGGTACCGCAGGTTGGTTTCCCGGTGCTGCAGGAACTGACCCAGCTGGTTACAGGCTCGCACCAGCAGGTTTGGTTCACTGACGAGAACGGGTCCACAACAGGTTAAAAGAACATTAGAACGTTAAAGAAAGAAGAAGAAAAAAAAATCTGGGTAGGATCAAATGTCAGGATCAAATGTCAGAGAAAACATCAGAGAATCAAAGATTTCTACAGATGACAGACAGGACTGTGACAGTCTCTGTAGCCTAGCAACAAGTAACACACACTCCATCTGTTGGGGGCGACATCACCCTGCAGTACGGTTTAATCACGTTAGCATCTTTTACACAGTAAAGTGTCATGTGACCCAGAAGCCTCACCTGTCGTAGTGGATGATAAGAGAGATAGCCTCAAACAAGATGGCGTTCTTAGCGTTAGAGTGCTGGACCTTTTTGGATTTGGGCGGCTCCTGTGCCTTGTTGAGGATGGTCTCCAGACACTCCACCAGCCGGCCCTTGACAGCGCCATCCTCTGGTGGAGGGTAGCACTGCAACAGGCGTAGCAGCTTGCAGGAGAGCCACGGTGCTGGGACAAAGTAGTACGTGTAATCCTGCAGGTCAGTGGAGGCGGAGGAAACGATCTGGAGGAAGAGAACGTTTCTTTAGATCCGTCACAGTAGCACAAACTCGTACGTTTGAATTTGGAACTTTTTTATATTCAATAATGTACTGATTATCTTGATCAAATCATTTAATATCACCTTTATTCAAAGACATTCAAAAACAACCGATTCACTTTGAGGAAAAACATTTTCAACAACTGTCCACACACTCACCCTGCTGAGTCTGGAAACAGCCAGAGAAACACAGGTCTTGAACTCATCTGGATTCTTCTGACTCAAACAGGTGATGAGAGAGATGGCAGCCGTCACCACACCCTAAACACACACACACACACACACACACTTAGAAAATTTGTTTTGACAAAGTCAGTGGGTCATTGCATCATGTTTGCGTGTTCAGTCGGCTTTGGCCTCTCGTCTGTTTGCACACTGAGGCAGTGCGGACTTTGTGCTAAAAGGTTGGCGAGTTAAAGTTAGTGTATAGAGACATTTGACTAGGGAAAGGAAAACAGGTTCAGGTGCCCTCCTGTGGCCACAAATGGTACAACCAGATTTCATTCTATTTAACTCCTTGTGTTGTGCCTTCAATCTTTTTGAGTGTATCTTAGCGGTGTGTATTGGCGATATTGTAGGCACAACCATGGACTGAGTTTTTTTTAAACAATTTAATTGTATACTGAGTTTTTTTTAAAACAATTTAATTGTAGTAAAACTGTCGTCATAGTAAACAACGATGCTGTTCTCAACATCAGGTTATTAAATTAGAACAGAAATAAAAGCAAAATAAAATGAATTCAATCCATGAATATTTGAGGGTTAATCATCAGGAGGTGTGGACCGTGCTCTCACCATGTGCTGGTCGTTGAGCAGGTGAACGACTCGTGACGTCCACTCGCCCATCAACACCAGGTCAGGGGAAGTCTTGTAAAGCCTCAGGAGGCAGAGGGCAGCAGACTGCTTCACACTGTCCATCGTGTCACTGCAGTCCAACACATTCACAAACTCTTAACTTATTTCTCTTCATCTTTAACGGCAACTTAAAAAAAACCGTGACGTCTTGACTCACCCGGCGACGAGTATCCGAGGGATCTCACTGGCGAAGGCCTCGGCCATCTCTCGGCTCCCGACGTTTGCAATACAGTGCAGTGCCAGGCACATGAAGGTCGGGTTGCGGCTGGACAGGTCATTCTTGATGGCGTTGTTGATCAGACGGATCAGTTCACTGTTGCTGTTCACCAGCACCGAGATGAACAGGTAACCCTGAAGTGACAGCGAGGAGCGGGAACTGATCAGAATAAAACCTCGGACACAGTCCTGCTCCGTCAGTGACGGTTGGATCCGTCACTGGGAGAGAACCCTGAGCCTTGGGTTTTCCCGCCTATTACCTCACATCATACCTGGCTCCGCCCTCTAAAGGGATTTTAAATGAAAAAAAAAAAAGAAAGAAATTCAGACAATAACAAACCCTGTCAACAGGATTAGACTTCAGGCCTGTTTTGTAAACCTCCAGGAACCAGGTTCACAAATGTTCCCACCATGAAGGTTAGAATTAAAGAACATCCCATAATTAGTCAATTTATGTTCAACAACGTTGAGTTAATCCTTGTTTAGGTCGTATTTGGGTTGTTTTTTTAGTTTTCAACTACTTTAAAATCACATGCGTTTCATCATACGATGACTTTTGCTACACACACTAAAAATGTGTATCTTTTGTCATGTATTTTTTCATAGTTTTAAATCTGAAAATGTAGAAAATGAAGGTAGATAAATGTAAATAACTGTAAGTGGTTTATATGTGACAGTTTGTGCCACGTCTGTTTTCTTTGTTGGTACAGCAGCTAACGCTGACAACACATAGATCCCTGACTCAGTCCAAATCTGCTGACACATCACTTCCTGCTGCTGAAAAAGAAGGAAACGGTCACACTTTCTCTGCTTATACTTTTAACATAAGTGTCCATCATCCCAGTTGTTTTGTTTTTTTTATGTTGAAGGTGCTCCGTGTGATCTGTGCTCAGCTCAGACAAACGGCAGAAAGTGTGTATTGTAAAAATAAATAAGCCTGTGGTCTCGGGGGACGACATACGAGAACTTACTATCTGTTTTTCTGTGTACTTGTTGGAGCTCAGCAGGTTGACTGCCTCCATGTGGCCAAAGTCGATGTCATGGCCAAGCAGGAAAATGAAGAGCAGCTTGCACACATACTTCTTCTTGCTGTATCCATCCAGAGCCTTGTCGCCCTTGAACTTGGAGCGGATGTTGGCCAGCTCCTTATTGATCCGTTTGATCTCCGCCTCCTTGCTTTTACCTAAAAAGACAGGGGAGGAGGAGGAGGGAGGGGTAACGTTGTTATCAGCACTGAGAGGAGACACGTCTGTGAAAATCTGCGGTCGAAGGTTCACCCAAATACACACAGTTATCTGCCGTTAGAGGGAAAATTCTGAAGGTGGCGCTGCAGATTTGCCCCAGCAGGAAGCGGTTTTTGTGAAGGAAATGCCTTAATATTTAGTAATTGATTATTTACATTTGGAATTGTTGTAAAAGCAGAATAAAAAATAAAAAAATAAAACCAGATTTGACTTGACTCTACCATTACTGAGATTTTTTTTTTTTTTAATGACTAGATCTTGATTTAACGAGTCAATCACACCTCCCATTCTTGTTATGTTTTAATTAGCACCAGGCTAATATAAACACAACTGATCACTGGCATCAGCTGTGGTGATACCACAAGTTCAGCCAGTATATATATGTAGGATAATCTACTACAACTGTGGATGAATTTCCAGAGATCACAAATGACGGGTTTCTGGTGCAAATCCTTACCCACTTCTCGAAAAATTGTTTTTCTTGTGAAAAATGTTTTCACATTTTGTACAGTCTTATACAATCCTTACCCACTTCTTGAAAAATGTTTTCACATTTTGTACAGTGTGGTGATATCTTAGTTCCATATGTAACTGTATAAAACATCACATCACTATCAGCTCTTCCCGACGCGACGCAACACATCACACCTTGTGATTAAGTGACGAGGCGGCATCAAACCAAGAACCTCCTGGTGTATATAACCGTACGTGCCGTCAAGTATGATCCCACTCTACGTCCCTCTAATGGGGTACAACATTCAGCCAACATCCAGTGATGAAATAGGAACAACAGCGTGATGAAAATCTAGTCTCCAAATGAGCTCCGACATCTGGATCTGAAATGTCACACAGATGTTCCTGATCTCCGTGTCACTAAGGAAACATCACTTCTCTACAACAACTGTTTATAATTTATGTTTTATTCATCTTCACCCGCGTCATTAGACGAGTGTGGGGTTACACCCTGGACAGTTGGCTGGTCCACTGCATGACCACTCACAACCATTCACGCTGTAGACAATCACTGTAAACTGGACCAGAGTCTCTGGGAGAAAAAAGAAAACAATGCACTTACTGGGAGAACATGGAAACTCCAAACAAAAAGACCGGGGGATTAAACAAGTGACCTTCCTGCTGTAAGGTAACCAGACAACCACATCTCTCACCGTGTGGTCCATTTTGAAATTTTACCATCACTTAAAAGCGATGGGACAGAAAAAAAGACCAAAACAAATATGAAAGTTTTGATCTCCTAAAAAGACTTAGTCCTGTGACAGGCCTGTGGGCTCTAGAGTGCACCCCAGTGGTCACCTGTCAAGAGGCTGGATACACATTGGCCAGGTCACGGGCCAATCACACATCATCACAGCCACCAGTACCAGTACCAGTACCAGTACACCTCTCCATCAATAACTAACACAGACTGGACAACTGCTGACAGTTCATGACTCTCTCAAACTCAGCCAAGATGAGGATTTGAAATTAGCACAAATATTTATTTTTTTATTTACATAAAATAGCAGTTATACTTATTGACACAATGGAAAATCAAAGAATCAGCACTGTAAGTATTTAAAAAAAATATTAACAGCTGTGCAAATTTCAGTGAAATCCATTCACGTGGAAGTGAAATTGATGAAGTGGTTAAAAGTCAAAAGTCCAGTGAAGGTATGTTGTCAATAAAACCACCGTTTCAAAACAGGAAACAGAAGAAGAAAAATATATTAGACGAAGATGAGTCTATGGTTTAAATCTAGTTTTAAAGTTGAACATGTAGAGAAAACTAAGGATCAAAAAAATTAAGCGTCATAAATCTGTATTGATATAAAAACACATCTGTGTGGGTCTCCAGTCTGCTTTTATTTTTATTTAAAAACTGGGTCAGAAGTCTACTTTGTTGTAACAACTATTTTGGGCAATGTCACAACAATGTGGGCGGCATCTTAGTCCACGTTCTCTGTTGTCCATGTGTATGTTTACCAAATGTATTGTGATATAGAAGAGAAACAACTTGTCATTGAGAACATTGAGGATTGTGGGTAAAATATGAATGTGTCAGTAGAGGAGTGAAAAAAACCCCACATTTTCACACCGAGTGGCTTCAGAAAACCACATTAGCACCTGAGGCTGACTTCGACAGCTTCACACCGCCAGGGGATCGAAGTGTCCGGTTCTTATATATGGTCTACGTGTTTAATGTGTCAAACGATTCCTACACCAAATGACCGTGGCCCCGAAACGGAGCAGTTCGTCCCCGATCCTGCAGCAAGTAAGCGAGGTTTGTGGGGAAGGATCTAAAAGAAAGAAAGAAAAAAAAATTGTACTCACAGTTTCTAATGTCCGAGATGAAAACCGCTAATCCGCGCATTCCATCTCCTTTCGACACAGCCGGCATGTTTGCAGCTTTCTCTTCTCACTCCGGCCTTATCCGTGGTACAAAAAAAGAAGAAGAAGAAATACTCGACCTGCCGCTGATCAGCCTGTCAACTAGTTCTGGAGCCAAAGATGAACAACTTGGTGTTTCCTAGCTTTGATAGTACTCAGCTACTACCGTGTTTTTTTTCCTGCCTGAAGAGGGTTTAACAGCGTCAGTCAGCAGCGGGTTCCGTTAACGTTATCCCTTGGTTGGCTGGCTCGTATTCGCTGCCCGTGGCGAGCTAACGTTATTTCATTCAATCCCTATCGGGCCAGGACAGATGGGCTGCACACGACACTCCCAGCGTCGGACCTCACCTAAAACCACAGAATTGTTCGGCTGTCTTTCCGCTGGATACAGCCACGTAGGGTGTCGCAAGCGTCGCCTGAGAATCTTATCGTTAACTTAACTGTGAGTCACGCACGGTTAGAGCTAGCTCAACAGCTAGACGGCTAGCTGGCTAGCAAATATCGTTTAAATGCTGGGATACATCACCGGTTTGCCGGTATACCGAGAAGGTGCCTCAGTGACCGGGCTGTGCTGTCAAAAGCTGGCCGTTCTCTCTACCTCGCGTTCTTGTTGCGGTAAAGAAATTGTGGTTTATAATTAATGTCCGCTCTAATTCTCCAGCCTCCTCCGCAAGCTCGGATAAGGCTCGTGACAGCACGGCCGGCCGTGAACGCGCACGCTCGTTTCCTCCGGCGTTGACTGGTCAGTCAGAGGCGAGCACGGCGGGCAGCGCGCGTATCCCAACTGCCATGTTAATGTAGCATCAGAACCAGAACCAAAGTCAACCGAGCTCTGGATTGCGGTCGAGTTTAGATGGCCGTGTTTATCGCCGACTGAAGGGTTCGAAGAGCCCATACATGTTCACCTTTATGAAAACGCTAGACTTTCAGGGATTAGCTCAGTTAACCTTGAGTTTTTCCTGTTCGGCTGAAGCGCGTTCTCGTGAAAAAGGCGGAGTTATGGAGTGACGCCATCAGAGCCACAACACACCATTATTGTGGAGCTAAAGTAATGTAAACAAAAATACATCAAATATGTAAAATTATCATTATTATCACTATTATTATTATTATTATTATGAAGTGTTAAAATGTTGGCTTCTTTGACTATTTTTAAATTTTTTAAAATCCTCTGGTGAAATTAAAAAACAGTTATTCTAAAGTGAGATAATTTTTAACATTATTTAGTATATAAATGTTTATTATATTATGTGTAAATATATCATTTATATGTTAAATACAATAATAACAATAATAAAATGTACATCTGCTGTCGATTCTTGTGTTGTCCACTAGATGTCACTTTACGCCTTGGGAAATGAGAATATGCAGTATCGCGTTGGTATGGTAGCGTATCGGTATGTGTGAGGAAAGTGAACTACTTGTCATTGTGACACAGCACACAACAAAACGTGACCTCTACGTTTTACCCATCACCAGAGAGAGTAGGGGGCAACTGAAGTGCCTCAGTGGTAACTTGGCAGCTGGGGGACTCCAACCTGGAACCTCCCAGAACCAAGTCCACTTCCTTAACCACTGAGCCACCACTGCCCCACTGTGTATAGATTCTCATCACTCCGTCCATCCATTCATCTTTCATCCAACATTTCTGTACCATCAATAAATCGACAAGTAAAAACGTCCCCTCTTTTATTGAACATGTCCCCAAACATGACGTCAAATGTAGAATTCCCCCCCAAGCATGTCTTCAGCTGTTCACTTTAAAGCACTAAACAGACATATTAAGTTACTTTTTAACCCCTTCTTGTTCAGCCGTGGTGTGGTGTGATGCTCTACTATGTGATTTGTTTCAGGAAAAAAAAAAAACTATGATTTTTCAGAGTTGTATTTCTGCTGCGTTCTATGGTTTTTCAGAGTTGTATTTCTGCTGCGTTTTGACCTAGTTGTCATCGTCGTCGTCATCGAAGACGTCGGCCACAGTCCTGCAGAGACGACACAGAAACAGTATTTATAGAACAAAGTTTCCTGGACGTTGATTTGTTTATGTTGAAAAGGGGAATTGTCTCACTTGTAGATGGATCCAGTCACCTCGTCAAGGAAACCTCCTGTGGAGAGAAGCAGAAGTTAGTCTGAGCTGAAGATAAACCCACCACAGCTACAGGGTTTAAAGGTCAACTGCCGGTGAAAAACGGTGACATCTAAAGGCCAGATGGTGCACTGCAACAACCCTCTCATTTAACTTGAACTTTTCAGATTTGTTTTGTGATGTTTCATAAACTGAATAAGCTGCTGTCATTGGTCAGAAGTGTGATGTTGTGTCTCTGTACTGTGGCCGCTCGACACACACTCACCGGGCTGACACAGCGTTTGGCAAACAGGACACACGTGGCAGAAAGTGCACATCTGTTAATGAGGAGAGGAAGGCGTTAATGAATAATTATTGACCGTTTCCACAAGTGTTTTTTTTCTTTTTCTTTAACAAACATTTACCCCCCAGTCGTCACAGTGTGCAGACTTGTCTCCCTCTTTGCAAGGACATTTATCGCAGCTGTCACAGTGCTGCATCGAGACAAATTCACATCGGTCAGAGGAAGTCAAATTAGAACAACGGTCGTTACAGATGTTTAATTTGAATTTCACCTGATTTCACACATACCTCACAGAATTCACAGTAAGCGCACACAGAGCCCTTATGATAATCATCATCATCATCATCATCGTCGTCATCATCATCATCATCGTCGTCATCATCATCATCATCGTCGTCATCATCATCATCGTCATCGTCGTCGTCATCATCATCATCATCGTCTTCATCATCATCATCATCATCATCATCATCATCATCATCGTCATCTGCATTTTAAATTAATATTAACAATTGTACACATTTACACAATGGACAGTCCAGAAATATAGATAAGAAGAGTTAATGGGCTGCCTGTCAATCATAGTTAATCACTATATAATTTAAAATTTAGGGCTACATTTGAGTGACAGTTTGTTTATAGTGTGAAATGATCAACTATAACCTGAGCTTCATGATCAGGGGCTCCACAGAACCAGAACAAGGAATTTGATAAAAGTCAAAACAAATATTTAATTTTGATACATTTATTTTTTGCATCTAAAAAATTATAAAATAATAATAATAATTGTCTTAAGTCCATTTAACAGCAGAACTCACAGACAGACTGTAAAGAATGAAGGGATTCTGAGCGATGTTTAAGACACCTACTGGCATCTAGAGGCGAAGTTGGGTATCGCACTGTCCTAATTATATTTTGCCTGACATCCCTCCAACCAAAGTGAGAATCTCTAGTGGCCTTCAGATGGCATTAGCCTGACTTCCTGCCAAGTGACTTTGTTGGATTTGTCCCGTGTGGGCTACAGTACAAACATGGCCGACGCCACTGAGAAGGACACGCTGTGTTTGAAGTTTTATTGATCAACACATCCTTTCCTGGAAAATGAAGGCCATCCATGGAAGTTCACTGTCTTACCATTAGGTGTCACTAAATCTTACAGTCTGGCCCCTGAGCTAGCTATTGTCTGGATATATAAAATATGGAATAATACTTTATAATAACTGCACAAATCTCACAAACAGACAAGACGAAATCCACATAGTGCAATGGTTCCCAAAGTGGGGGGCGGGGCCCCCTTAGACGGCTGCAAAGCTGTTGTGCTGGGCCACAGCGGTGCATATTAATGTGTCAATATTTCCTTAATTTTTTGTGGCTAATTTGCAATTATTTATCATACTTCTTTGTTCGATGAAAATAGCAGTTTATTAACGTTTATTAATGACTAATAGTACATATTAACAGTTATGGAAGTGTCACGGAGCAGGGAGAGTTTGAGAACCACTGACGTGGAGCATGCAGGAGTCAGAACAGATACTTACAGTTCTCCGTGGTTTGTCTTCATTCTGTTTAGCTAACATGCTAACATGATGAGTTGAATGTGACTTTCAGGATCTGTGACTTTACTCTAGTCTCTAGTTACTAGTCCTAGGATAAGAGCAGAGAGTCGTCTGCAGACACAGGAAGCGGAGAGCAGGACCTGAGTCACATGTGACCGGGTCTGACCAATAACAACTTTACACGGCGACGCTGCACATCGGGCCTGGTCTGTGATGAAGTGTCAGGTGTACATTTGGGTGATCATTTGATTTATTTAATGAATGAAAGTAGGGTTAAAGGCACATGGACAGTGGTGTTTGACAGTCGTTTCCACGCATGAATTTTCACAGTCTTCACAAAATCACAGTTTAGCTAAAGACAAAGAGAAAAAAGCAAACGAGCATTTCATCCCTTGACAACACGGTTACTGAGCGAGCGCTAAACTACGCCTGTACAAGGAGATGTTTCTCTCTCTTCCCAAACACTCTCTCCTTGGATGTCTGTAAAACCATCCAAAAAAAAAACTACTGCTGTAATTTACATTTCATAACAATTGAGTAGTTTACATAAAGTCACCTTGGTGCACAAATAGTTCTGTTCAGTTGTATCAGTACCAAATAAGCATCATTGAATAGTGAAGGGGGCAGAAATGCACAGAACTCCAAACAAGTAACATGAACAGAAGCTACTAAAATAGGCATCAAAAGTTCTTGTTTTTATCTAGTGGTTCAGAACAACAGCGTTTTGTAAAATAAAAAGAGGTAAGGTAATTATTACATGGTTCAATGACAATATTTTCACTGTGTTTAGCAATTTTACAAGTGCGCACACCAGATTTGAAACTAAATCCTCAGTTGTACATGCCTGGTTATAAATACAGCAGATTCAATGATCTACAGAGAAAGAAAGAGATTGAGAGGTATGGAGAAAGAGAGAAACTTCACACCTTGTCATAAAAAAAAGAGATTTTTTTTTAAAATTTTGTTTTGAAAGTGGCCCTCCTGCACCGCCCTCACGCTTTTATTCTCCATCTTCTGTGTGTTTCTCAAGCATGCACTACCACGCCCCCTGCCTGCCCCCGTCCAAAAAGCCACCTCCAATATCCCTGTCTCTCTTTCTTTCTCTGTAGATTCACATAAAGACACAAGTGATGGTCAATCTGATCCGTAACAATTGAGAAAGGAAGATCCTAAGGAAGGAACCATTCCGGAGGAACCATTCTTTCAAACGAAACACAAATCAAAAGATCTCAGACTAGTGACCCCAATAACTGATTTCCAAGTCAGGCTTGGTTTGTGTGAAACAGTTTTTTTTTGTTTCTTTCTCTCTCTCTCAAATCAATGCGTCTGCAGTCCCCCAGCTCAAATCTAGCAAACTGTACGAAGGATTTCGGACAGTCGGACTTCTGATGGGCCAGTTCAATTTCCCCAGAGGGCTCATAATTCTAGTTCAGCAAGGAAAAGAGCACAGTGTCAGAGACAGTGACAGAGAAATGGACAGCGGAAGAAGGGGCAGAGGAGGGACGTCAATGACCTGTTCACCTTTGACAAACGCACTGACAACGAGATGACGAGGTTGTAGCAGGGTCAACAGAAGGGGAGTGGCCCACGTGTAATGTAGCTCCTCCCCTTCTTTCACTGTCCTGTACATGCATACATTTGCACATGACACGGTTTGCATCAGCAGCTGCACGTCAGAGCATCATCCGTGACCGAGAGTGGGGGAAATTTTCATGACAGATGGTTGGTTTAAGTCGCACTAATCAAATCCTGTGGTTTGTCTGGTTAACACTTCTCTTACAGATGATGCTGGAACAGCCTGCTGCATGTATGCATGTCCGCATGGACTGACACAGAGACACACACGGGGCGCAGCGTTTTAAAGGGACTTACCGTCGTGATCATCATCGTCGTCATCATCATCGTCGTCATCGTCATCATCGTCATCATCGTCGTCATCATCATCCTCGTCGTCGTCATCATCATCATCATCATCATCGTCGTCATCATCATCGTCGTCATCGTCATCATCGTCGTCATCATCGTCGTCGTCATCATCATCGTCATCATCGTCGTCATCATCATCATCGTCATCGTCATCATCATCATCGTCGTCATCATCGTCATCATCGTCATCATCGTCGTCATCATCATCCTCGTCGTCGTCATCATCATCATCATCATCATCGTCATCATCGTCGTCATCATCATCTTCGTCGTCATCGTCATCATCGTCGTCATCATCATCATCATCATCATCATCATCATCATCATCGTCGTCATCATCATCGTCATCATCGTCGTCATCATCATCATCATCATCATCATCATCGTCATCATCATCGTCGTCGTCATCGTCATCATCATCATCAGCAACCAGACCTTGCTCAGAGCGGAATGGCAGATCTTGTGCTTTGACACTTGGAGCCAGCGGGGTGTGGAAGGAGCAGAGCAGCGCCAGAAGCACCGCAAGAATCAAACTTCTCAAAGACGCCATGTTCACGGCCAGGGCCCGGGTCACTTAGTGAGGAATTCACCTGGAATCACTGCAGGAGTCCAGCAGCGCAGCTCTCGGCCTGTTACTCACACACACGCACTCGCGCACGCACGCACGCACACACACACACACACTCAACCACTGACAATCTCGAAAACCGGTAGAAAATAGACACCAGCTATAATGGTATCCAACAGACAGGGTCCAGAGAAGGTACTCCAAGCTGAGGTCCAGTAACTTGTCTCCAAGTCCTGGAAAAGAGATCCTGGGAAAAGAGAGATCCTCCCTGAAAACCTGGGACAGCCGTGGGACCGCGGTGTGGTTTAGTCCAGTCTAGTGACGGCGTGACCAGTGAAGACTGCTGGAAGAAGGGGACAGAAAGACTGTCAGGAACCAGTCAATGCTGGGGACAGAGAGAGGACTAAGGCGAGAGTGACAGAAAAAGAGCGAGTCCAACCTATGGGGTAAGCTGAGAAGAGGGGAGGGGGGCAGTCAGACTGACTGACAGGGGCAAATGCTGGTGGGCAGGACTGCCCTATCCA